TGGTAGATTAATCAGGGCTCTGTTTTAATCTGCCTTCAGAGACCTTGCTCTGATCACCAGTCTTCCCTGGCCAACTAACAGAGAAAGAGAGAAAATCATTGCAAACAGAAAAAACACACCAGCTTAGCAAGCAAGCACTATTCTACCTGTGACCCAGACCAGAAAGCCCATCATATTTAGTGTGCCCTTGACTGGGTGAGGTCGGGAGCCCTCCCTGCCAAGACATCAGCCCTCTGACTTACGGCAACAGCCAGTCTGAAGCAATGCTAGTGTCTTTCCCCCAGGGGCGGCACACAGGTCAAGCACAGTGTCACCAGGCTGCAGGCCGAGGGCCAGGACAGGCAGCAAGGAGGCAGCATCCATCAGGTAGTAATCCATGACACCCAGGCTGCCAAGCCTAGAAGAGAGGAGACCACCTTAGAGTCAAATTCCAAGTCAGGAGACCCACTGGAAGTCAAGGTCACAAGTCCATGCCCTCAGGGGCTACTGAGCTCTACTCAGCAAAAACTAATTTCTCAAACCCACACTCAGTTGTGTACTTACTCACTCATTCATCTACATAGCAGCCAGAGCAGCCTTTTAAAACATAGATCAACTCACTCTATTGCAGCCACACCAGCCATCTTTGCTATTCCTTAATTAAGCCACGCATACTCCTGTCTCAGGCTTTTGTAGTTGTTGTGCTTTTTGCCTACAACACTCTTCCTCCAAATAACCCTCATTTGCTTCCTCACTTCTTTCAGGTCCTCCTCAAAAGTTACCTCATCAAAGAGGCACTGGCATACCCTGACTACTCCAACTAAAAATAGCAGCCCCCTACTCCCATCTATCTATGTTGCATTCTTTTTCTTTAAAGTATTTATTATTCACTTTATATGTATAGGTTTGTGTGTATTTTACCCCTTCTCTCTCTCCCTATTAGAATGAAGGTAGGGACTTTGTCTTGCTTTGTTCATTATAACATCCCCAACACCTGAAACAGTGAATGGCATGTAGTAGGAACTCAGTTTTATTAGGTTACATATTGAGATACAAAGTGCTTTGTGGGTTCAGGAAAGAGTGCCATCCACTGTGCCTGTCAGAGTCAGAGTTACCTGAGTTAGATCTGATGAAGGAATGGGCCTTCATTCGGTTAAAAAAAAAAAGGGAAGAGGAGCATTCCAAGCAGAAGAAAAAAGAAAAAGCAAAGGCACAGATGCATGCAAACTCATAACTTCTTTCAGACACAGTGAGAAATCTGGTGTGTTAGAAATACAAGGTACATTAGATTGAAGTTGGAAAGCAGATAGAGGCCAAGGTGGTAAAAGGTCTTAAACCCTATGCTAAGGAGTTTGGACTATAACCTGTAGGCAGTTACCAAAAGTTTTTAAAGAAAATGACATGGGGGCTTCCCTGGTGGCGCAGTGGTTGAGAGTCCACCTGCCGATGCAGGGGACACGGGTTCGTGCCCCAGTCCGGGAAGATCCCACATGCCACGGAACGGCTGGGCCCGTGAGCCACGGCCGCTGAGCCTGCACGTCCGGAGCCTGTGCTCTGCAACGGGAGAGGCCACAACAGTGAGAGGCCCACGTACCACAAAAAAAAAAAAAGAAAATGACATGATCGGCTAGTTAGAGTTTTAGAAAGCTAGGTGGGCTACAAAGAACAAATTAGAAACAGAGACACCAGTAGGAAAGCTGTTACAAGAGTCCAAATGAGAGCTAATAAGGCATGGAGAGAGGCAGCACCCATGTGGGTAGAGAGAGAGGGACAACAGACAGGTTGTTGTCACAGAAGGCCTTCTCACTCCCAACCCACTTGTCATAAGGGCAACTGTGGTGCAGCCATTCAGCCTGAGACACGGTTCAGCGCGGACAGCCTTTGGCGACAGCCTCAAGGAGGCAGAAACTTGGTCCTTGCTGACCTGACAGGAAGGCTCTGGAAGAAAGATGTGACAAGATATAAGACAGAGCACCACTGAGAATCAGCTATAAGACCTACAATCCCCAGTCTCGAGGTCATAACACCTCTGGCGTTCACAAATGGGCGCAGGCCATGATAGGATATTTTCAAAGTCAAATCACACTTTGTGCCGCAACTACTGAGCCTGCACACCACAACTACTGAAGCCTGCGCGCCTAGAGCCTGTGCTCCGCAACAAGAGAAGCCACCGCAATAAGCCTGCGCACCACAAAGAAGAGTAGCCCCTGCTCGCCGCAACTAGAGAAAGCCTGCACGCAGCAACAAAGACCCAACACAGCCAAAAATAAATAAACTTTAAAAAAAAAAAAAAAGCAGCACAACAATTTCTCAATTTCAGGAGGTTCCTGGACTCCCTAAATACATCCTTGAACTCCCAAGAGATTAAGATCCCCTTGATTTACAGGGAGCCCATCAAGACAAGAAGGAAAAAAAATTCAAACATAGAGGGCTGCTTCCCCCACTACTCTCCGGATGTCCTCAGGCAACTTAGGAAACCACATGGGTCTTACTCCATTGATCTGCCTAAAGCCAGTGCCTCCAAATTGGTCTCTAATCCTGCTCCCATCTATGCCCTCCTCACAGTGACTAAAATGATCTTCCTGAAGCACAACCTTGATAGGAATAACATCGATATTGCAGGTACTATACTAGGTGTTTAATATGCATCATTTCCTTTAATCCTCACCACAACCCTGTGAGGCAGGAGAACCCAGATTCTAGAGCCTGACTGCCTGGATCTCAAATCCAGCCCAGTTGCTCATCAGTTGTGTGACCTTCTGCAAATTACTCAACTTCCTGTGCCTCAGTTTCCTCATCTGTAATAAGAGTACCTATCAGATAGGATTAGTGTAAGAATTAAAGGAAGTAATAGAAGACAAGTACTTAGAACAGTAGCTGGCACAGTGAGCTATACTATCAGCTATTACTACCATTACTTTCCAGATTATTTTCCTGATAAGGAAACCAAGGCTCAGTTATCCAATGCCACACGTCTAATAAGTGGTGAAGACAGGATCCAAACCTAGGTTTTCTTAACCACTGTACATTATTACCTTTCCTCTACTCAGAAACCGTCTTCAGTGGTTCTCTAGAACAGATGAACGTATTGCAATTACAGCAATATGAATTAAAAGGCACATGTCTGAAGCTGCCCAGCCCTGGTAATTCCAGCCATTTATAAGCAACCCTGGACCACCAGGAAAATCCCCTTCCCCCAACCTGAAAGCTTGTGACATTCAAGATTCCCACACATGGCCCCCATGTACTTTTCCAACCTCATCTCTTACTTCTCTTAAGCATGCAGTCTTCCCTCAAACCAGCAGCTAAGACAATTGCAAAAGCCTCCTAATTTACAACTCCATTTCTTGCCCCTCTCCAATCTATTTTCCACACAGCAGCCAGAATGATATTTTAAAAATTCAGATCTGATCATGTTATTCCCCAGCTTAAAACCTTTCATGGCTGGGGTTTCCCTGGATGCCCAGTGATTAAGACTCTGAGCTTCCACTGCAGGGAGCACAGATTCGACCCCTGGTCAGGAAACTAAGATCCTGCATGCCACACGGTGTGGCCAAAAACAAACAAAAAACCACCAGCAACAAAACAAACAAACCAACCTTTCATGGCTCCCTCTTCCTTTTAGAGAAAAAGTCCATGATCCCATAAGGCCTGTAAAACCTTCAAAATCTGTCTCTAGCCCTCTTCTGTAGCCTCACATCACTCTCCCATCCCCACTTCCAAGCCACCAGCTTTAATTCCTACTCGGCTTTCAGGTCTTAGCTTAAATTTCACTTCCTCAGCATTAGATCTCCTAACTGTAAGACTTCATAGCATCTTGTACTTTTTTCTGTAGCACTTATCACAACCATAAATAGTTTTTTAAAAGTTATCTCCCTCACTAGGCCACAAGCTCCATGAGGACTTGTGCACTTAAGAGTGCCTAGCATTTGGCAGACAATAAATATTTGTTGAATGAATGAATCAGTCCTTCAAAGATCAATTCCCACATCCTACAGCTAACACTGAGCTCTCCTTTTCTCAATTTAGCATTTTATTACAGTCTTTTTTCATTCAACTTCATATACATCTGAGCATTGGATAAGATGACTGGAAGGACTCCTTTTTTTTTACCCCAGTCTGGTCTGGTACTAACTTTGTGTCCCTAAGCAAGCCCTATTTCCTAGGCAAGTCCCACCTCTTATTTGGTATCATGAGGTTACTTGTCCTACTCACTATGATGGGGGCAAGTGAGAAAGCAGTTGTAAATAACACACATTTTAACTGGAGAGGGTGCTCATGTAAAAAGGTTTTTTGTTTTTTTTCTTACTTAGGCGGTAGAAGTGGGGCACTTAAGCAGGTTCAAAGTGCAGGTTCTGAGGTCAGACTGCCTAGGTCTAAATACTAGCTTCACCACTTACTATCTAAGGGACCTAAAGCAAGTAAGTACCTTAACTTCTCTGCACCTCAGTTTCCTCAAATGTAAAGAAAAACAATAATATTACCCACCTCAGAGGGCTGTTGACAGAACAAAAGGAGATAATGCCCAGCATGTATAAGTACTCAGTAAATATTAGCAATATTAAGATCCCTATTAAACAGGACAGGAGCGGTGCCTCTTCCTGTCTACTTCCAACAGACACTCAGAACAGCCCTAGCCACAGCTCCAGATCCTACCTGGCAGGAGGGAAACGGCTGACATCCCCTCTGGCGAAAGTGAAGCATCGAAGGTTTGGACTGCAGGCCCAGGAGGCAGGGGGTGGAGCTGCAGTTTGGCCATTCTCAGGTTCTGGTTCCCCGTGGAAGATAGCTTCATTCACGAAGTCCCTTGCATTCAGCTGCTCCAGCTCAGCACTCACACGATCCCAGGCAGCAAAGTTATTGACCAGTGCACCATACTTCTGCTCTGAGAGGAGACTGACCCGGATCGATGGCCAAAGATCCCCAAATTGCACACTGTAGGTCATGTCAAAATTCTGCAGAGCCAGTCGAGTGGCAGGAAATTTGGGCTCTGTGGCAGCCTAAAAGAATGAGAACAGGCCTATTGGTCTTCCAGTCTTGCCTCTATCCCCTTACTGCCTGACCCCACCAGTAGTACCTCAGAGCGCTGGGGCAAACGTGGATCCAGCTAGTGCCCACTCCTCTTTGCACCCTGTCTTTGCATCCTGCCTCTGCCTGCCAAAGAAGTATGTGAGAGACAAGCAGTGGGGAACCAGCCTTTCTATCTCAGCGTTGTGAAGGTAAGCTATAGCTCTCACAATAGCATGTGGGGGTCACCAATAAAGAGGATACTCCTTTGAGGTCTTGGAGGGGACTCTTGAGAAGAGTCTACAGCAGGTTGGTAGAAACTATGTAGGCCCTGGGTGAAGCATCAAGCTTAAAAATAGAAGATGTTTTCTTTCTCAACAGTCCTTCCATTTTCTAAAGCACGTTCATGTCTCCTAGTTTAGGTGAGCACCACAAGAGATGGCGCAGTGGGATACAAAAAATATCAACCTTCTACATTTGATGGAGAGATGAGGGTAACTTACCTAAGGTCATGCAGTGACTGACACCACAATGCTCAGAATCACAGGGCTGGGGGTCATTTTGGGAAAGTCCCCGGACTCCAGGAAGGTGGGATGAGGAGAGCTCACAGAAACCTTGAGGCGTGAACAAAAGTGGGGACTTACAGGATGACTGCTATGAGGGTAGCAGAGAGGGGCATGAGTCAGGCTTGAAGAGCACAGAAGTAGACTGAAAGGGAAAAAAGGCCTCAGCTGAGGAGTCCACAAGTTGGTCCTGGTTGCCACAGCTGGGATGCTTGCTATGGCTGGCAGCCCTGTTACTGTCTATGAATTTTGCTTTAGCCTGGATTTTTGGATTTTTGGTCAGAACTCTTTCTCTGCTCTCATTTCTTGTTATGGTGGGGACTCTTGCTCCGACCTTGACTTTTGCTACGGTGGGGACTCTTGCTTCGGCTCCGACTTCTGTTACGGAGGGCACTCTTGATCGGGCCCTGACTTTTGCTATGTTGGGTACTTTCGCTCTGGCTCTGACTTTCAAAAAGTTGAGGACTCCCACTCTGCTCCTGATGTATGCTTTGATGGGTACCATGGCTCCCATTCAGACTTCTACTAAGATGGAAACTCTTTCTTTGACTCCAATTTGTGCTAGGGCTATGGGTACTCTCACTCTGGCTCCAACTTGTGCTTTGGAGGGTGCTCTGGCTGTCACTACTCTGGCATTCACTAACAACAACAGTCAAACTACAGTTGGCATTAGTGCTACAGCTGGAATTCTTGGATGAAGACAAAGGACAGCTGTAGGGGATCTGGGGAGACTCCTTGCGGCAGTCTCGAGAAACCACAGAGTAGACATGGAGGCCACAGGGCATAGTATCAAGATGGCCCCAGGCTCGGGGGGCAATCGGTAAATTTGGGGGGTCAAGGGGTGTTCTCAAAGGGATAAAAGAATAGATATGCATAGAACAAGGAGGCACCACAGGCTGGCGATGAGGTTGGGATGGGCCCCTGGGAGTGCTATAGGTGCCACAGCAGGGCACCACGGGCTGGTTATGACACTGAAGGGGACCTGTGGATTGACTGAGGGAACCAAAGAGTAGGCAGGGATTGCGGCAGGTGGGGGAAACCACAGAATACACATGGGTACTGCAGAGGGGTCCAATGGGGGGTCCTCGGGGGCTGGTCTGAGCATAACTATTGGGTAAGACAGGATCACAAGGAAGGCGAAGGGGAAGGGAAGTGGGGATAACTGTTTTGAGGGTTCTAGGGACCACAGTAGGTGTGGTAGTCCCTTGGGGAAGTTCTTTGGGGCAGGAATTTGAGCAAGTTGTGACGGATGTCACCATACAAGAAGGACCGGAGAGACCAGAAGGGCAGGAGGGAGGTGGAGAGGTGCTGGCCTTAGGCGACATGGGCCGGTCAGGAGGAGTGTGCTGGGTGACCAGGAAGTGACATCTGTGAGGAGCACATGGCTGTTTTAACTCTGAGGATTTGGGAGACTTAGCTTGGGGGCAAACTGGGATAGGGAGAGGGGGTTCCTTATAGCCTCTGCAGTGGGGTGCCTGGAGTGGAGACATAAACTGGTTGCCTGGAGGTGAAGGAAAGAAGGCAGAACAAGGACAGTGGGAGGACAGAGGAAGAGGTGGTTCCTGGGGACAGGGTGGACCAGAAATTGTAGTGCCTGAGGTTATGCAGACATAAGAGCTCCCACCAGTCTCCCAAGAGTAAATGGACTCAAAGCAAGGCTTCCTGGAAACCTGGGACTGGGGCGAGCAAGGAGAGCCAGTACTCCCAGGGGGTAGGCGGATGGCACAGTAAGGGCTCCCAGCGGCAGGTATGCTGGCATCTGGGGGAAGATGGGAATAGTGATAAGAGCCCTCCTGAGGTGAGCTGGGACAAGATGTACCTGCCTGAGAAGAAAGTGGGGAGCCACAGTAATTTTTCCGAGGAGGGGGGTCAAGCTGTGGTTTAGGTTCACAAGTGTCTGGATGCTTAACGTGGCCATGGTAAAAGCTGCCAGTGGGTGGGGAAGATGTTGGGGAAAGAGGAGGATAATTATAACTCCTCCCTGAGGACCAGGAAGAGAGCAGAGTAGAGGTCATGGGCCCAGTTTCCAAAACCCTGTGAGAAAGGGGTGGGGAAATTATAGGTCTAGTTTCCATGGGCCAGTGAGCATGAGGAGGTGAAATTATGAGGCCAGTTCCCAGGGGCCTATGAGTAAGAGGAGGTGAAATTATGGGGCAAGTTCCCTGGGTCCCAGCAGTGATGGAAGGTGAAATCATGGGGCCAGTTTCCAAAGGCACATGAGTGAGGGGAGGGGAGGTCACCGGGTTGGTCACTGGGGCTGAATGGTATCCACCACAGTAACAGCGATAAGTGTGTTGGTCAAAGTAAGGGCCTTGGGGACAGGGACATGGTGTTCTCAGGGGACTGATCCAGCTGCAATAAGGGCTCCACAGACGGGCAAGGGGTGACCCCACAAGGCGGAACCGGTCAACACAAGGACTTGGGGGGGACGAACCCGAGAGGATAGGCTCCCGGCGGTAGGGCCTTCCTAGGAGTGGAGAACAGGGTTCAAAAGAACATCTTCCTGGGCGCAGGGGAGTCTGTGGGGGTGGGGAGAGGGGAGGTGGGGGTGGGGAAGGAATCGCTTGGGGTAGGGTGGGGGGCTGGCCAGTTATGCAAGAAATTCCAGGGCTACAAGTGAGGCCAGAGAAAGGATCTCTGGATAAGTGGGGAGAGCCCATGGGGTGAGAGGAGTCGCTGCACTTTTTGCCTGGGTTTGGGGGAAAGGCCGGGAGGGTGGCTACTGTAACTTCCTGGGCGCCAGAGGCGGCTCGAGGCTGAGAAAGGGGTTGAATCCTTTCCCGGAGGGCAGCGGAAGGAGAGAAGGGGAAGTCGCTATGTCACCTTCCTGGGGTGAGAGAGGCTGGGCTGGAAGGTTTAGGAGGAAAGGAGTATAAGAGGTCATGCGGTGGGGGCGGGGGGGGGAGGGGAGAGGGAGGAGGAGAAAGGGGGAGGGGGAGGGAGGAAGGGAAGTGGAAGGGTTAGTGGGGGCCCAAGGGAAGGTAACCAAGAGCCGGGAAACAAGAGGCGAGACAGAACTGAAAGAATGAGGACGGAGGTGATGGCGTAACATAGAGGGGCGGAGTCTGGAGTCTGCAGACTTAAGAGGAAAAGCCGAAGACTTGTGACGAAATAAAAGGGCGGACAGAGGCGATGACGTTACAGATGTGAGAGGGAGGGGCCTCGTCACGCCCCCTGAGGGGCGGGGGACAGGAGGCCCAAGGCGTTCCAGAGGCGCTGGAGTAGCGAGCCTAACTGAGGGCGCGGGAAGTGGGAGGGCTGGAGAAGTTTCCCGAGGGATGGTGGCGAGACACTGCTGTCACGGGACCTTACCCATTTCTTCTTATGTCGTTGTCTCCGCGGGACTGTCATGAAGTCCGCACGCTTCAGCATGTCCCGCACACCTCTCCCTACCAGCGCAGCCATGTGTGCGTGCGCCGCCGGGTAGTTCCGACCGGAACCGCAAAGGGAGACGCGCAGGTTCCGGAGAGTTGGTGCGCCCCAGTGCGGACGAAAAGGGGAGAGAGTTAACGGCTCTTTCCTGGGGCTCTGCCCACCGATACGTCGCAGATGCAAACCCAGCCCAGCGTAGGGATCTTTTGAGGGTCTGGAAAAGAAGAATTTTTCGCAGAGAGTGGTGGCTCCGTTTGGATGCTTGTACAGACTCTGCAAAGTCCCGTAACCCAGTTAGGGGATCAGGGAGGACTGGTAGCTGACAGTTGAGTACTGAAGGAGTTAGGTAGGCAAAATGGAGCGAGAAGAGCCTTTTAGGCAGAAGTACAGAGAGACATCCTGAGGTAGAGAAAAACGAGGCTAGACTTCTAGGCAGAGGCGGTTTTATAGTGAAGCTAATTAAGCTTAAGTTTCAGGACCTGTCATTTGCACTGCCCTTTTCAAGTCTCGTACCTAATTTTTGTATTATTTTTCTTAAAGAGGGTCTCCCAAATTTTTTAAGCTTCCACAGAACTTGACTCCATCACAGGAGCCAGTGGAAAGGAGGGTCATTATCAGATAATTGTTTTTAAAAATGAACATCTGATAGCCAGCGATCGGAGTAGCTGGGAGTAGGGCAGGAGATCAGATGAGAGAAGACCATGGTCTGGATTAGTGTGGTGGCAGTGAAGATGGAGAGAAGAAGATGGATTCCCCTTATAGTTCAGAGAAAGAAGTACAGGAGTTGTTGACTGACTGACCCTATCTACACTAGTATATACTACACCACCAGTCAATAGCTGTCCTCTTACTCTGCTTTTATTCTTCTGACTTATTATCACCTGATATGTATTTATTTTCTTATAGTGTGCTAAATAATAATTTTCAAAAGGTTAAAAACATTACTTATAAAAATATAAAATGAACACATGCCAAAGATTTTATCATAATAAACTGCTTATCCATTATTATCCTAAATAATGAGGGAACCAGTGAGATGGTAAGACTTGTTCAAATGAGAATTTGAGTTTCAGAGATTTAGATTATCAGCCAAAGGAATGCTGAAATGAATTTGCTAATAGTTGCAAAAACATTAATATCCTATTAAGCAATAAACTATAATGTTGGGGATTATCTTTTACCAGAGAGAATTAAATTCCATCTCTACTGGACAAAAATTCATTTGCATTTCTATGGATAGGAATTATTTGCATTGCTCTCAGACAAGGTTTGCATTGCCATCAGTTTTCTACAAGTTAACCTCTACCTCTATAAAGTTGTAAGATAGCCTAGTCAATGTAAAGTCAATCAAAGGTATACCCCAGCACTACAATAAAAGATCACCCAGTAATCCTCTTCTGCCCATTTACAAGTTCTGGACAATTTTTCTGGATTTGTCTCCCCTCACTAGCATGTAATATTTAAAGAGCAAGGATTTTGTTTGATTCATTGTTGAATTATCATCACCTAGAATTGTATATGATACATTGTTGGCTCTCAATAAATATTTATTGAATGAGGGAGTGAAAAATGAGAAAGTAGGGATGTGAATGTAAATTTCTTTGAGAAGTTTGTTACAGGGACCTAGCAGTTGTAAGGTGGAGGGAGGTATATGTATAGAGAAAGGCCTTTTTTTAAAAAAAGCTCAGCGTTTCCCTGGTTGGCACAGTGGTTAAGAATCCACCTGCCAATGCAAGGGACAGGGGTTCGAGCCCTGGTCGGGGAAGATCCCACATGCCACGGAGCAACTAAGCCCGTGCGCCACAACTACTGAAGCCCGCGCACCACAGCTACTCAATCCACTTGCCTAGAGCCCGTGCTCCGCAACAAGAGAAGCCACCACAATAAGAAGCCTGCGCACTGCAACAAAGAGTAGCCCCTGCTCACCACAACTAAAGCCCACGCACAGCAACAAAGACCCAACGCAGCCAAAAATAAATAAATGAAATAAATCTATAAAAAAACAAAAATAAAAAGCTCATTGTAATAACCTATATGGGAAAAGAATCTGAAAAAGAATGGATATATGTATAACTAAATCACTTTGCCGTACACCTGAAACTAACACAACATTGTAAATCAACTCTAATATAAAATAAAAATTAAATTAAAAAAAAAGCCATTTAGGGCTTCCCTGGTGGCGCAGTGGTTGAGAGTGCGCCTGCCAATGCAGGGGACACAGATTCGTGCCCCGGTCCGGGAAGATCCCACATGCCGCGGAGCGGCTGGGCCCGTGAGCCATGGCCATTGAGCCTGCGCGTCCGGAGCCCGTGCTCCGCAACGGGAGAGGCCACAACAGTGAGAGGCCTGCGTACCGCAAAAAAAAAAAAAAAAAAAGACATTTAAATCCAGATAAGGATCCAATGAAGAAAGATTCAATATACTAGAGAGGAGGTATCCCAGACACACCTGTTTTCAAAGGCTTACACCAAACATGGAGTGTCAGAACCACAGCCACAATCTCCCTGGGAAGGGGCCCTTCCACTCCAAACCTCAGTTTACCCATATAGAAATTGGAGGAACAAGGGAGAGAGGGTTGGACTACATCAGTGATTCTCAAATGTTTTGGTCTTGGGACCTCTTTAAAATCTTAAAAATTATTGAGAATTATTGAGATGTTTATTTTGTCTATCAATATTTACCAGCTTAGAAATTAAAACAGAAATTTTAAAAAATATTTATTCATTAAAAATAATAATAAGCCCATTACATGCTAACATAAATATCTTTATGAAAAATAATTGTATTTCCCTAAAAGAAATTTAGTCAGAAGAGTGGCATTGTTTTACAAATCTCTTGCAAATTCATGTCTGGCTTAATAAAACTAGATTCTCAGATATTCTTCTTCAATGTGTTGCAATATGTTGTTCTAGTTGAAGTATATGTAGAAAATCCAGCCTCACACAGATATGTAGTTAGAAAAGAGAGGGGTATTTTTATAGCCTTTATAGGTAACTGAGTATTCTTTGATACTACATCAAAATTTGACAAGTGATAGTTTCCTTCAAGGTTAGTGGCGGTGTAGAATCTGAAACCATATCAAAGAACTTTTCATAGTCTGTTACATTAAGATCTGTTGGTCTATCATGCATAATTTTGTCAGATCTTACAGTGGTTATTTGGAAATTGTTGGTTCACTGAGTTATGCAGATCTTCCTTTTTTTTTTTTTTTTCTGGCTGCGTTGGGTCTTTATTGCTGCATGTGGGCTTTCTCTAGTTGCAGCGAGCAGGGGCTACTCTTCGTTGTGGCTTCTCATTGCGGTGGCTTCTCTTGTTGCAGAGCACCAGCTCTAGGCGAGCGGGTTTCAGTAGTTATGGTGCACAAGCTTTGTTGTTCAGCAGCAAGTGGGATCTTCCCAGACCAGGGATCGAACCCATGTCCCCTGTATTGGCGGGCGGATTCTCAATCACTGCGCCACAAGGGAAGTCCCGGATCTTCCAAATGTTTTCACATTCATTATACAATATATATTTTTTAAAAATCACATTTGTTAATATCACTACTGATCTCATCAGAAAAGTCTTTAAATGTTAGGCAGCTTTTAAACTCACAGTGGCGCATACAAGTTTTTCAAAATCCTAATATTTCATTGAAAACGCAGATTTTATCTTTGGCAACAAATACTGTCAATTGTTTTCCTCGAAGTGGCAGGCTTACTTTGTTAACTTTTCAGGAAAATGCTAGCATATTAAAATACAATTGATTTTTGTCAACAGATCTTGTATCTTGAAACCTTGTTAAATGCAATTTTGTTTTGGTAACTTTCTTTGAAACCTTTTCAGATTTTCTGTGCACAAAGTCGTGTCTTTTATGAGGTCACTTTTACTTCTTTTTTCAAATCTGTATACCTTTTTTTTCCTTTGTCTTACTCCACTGGTTACGACTTACAGTACACTGTTGAACACAAGTAGGAGTAGTAGACAAGACATCTTACCTTGCTTCCATTCTTAGGGGGAACACATTCAGTATTTCACCATTATACATGATGTTAGCTGTAGTGGTTTCTATTTGTTTGTTTTAATATTTATTTGGCTGTGCCAGGTCTTAGCACATGCAGCAGGATGTGCAGGATCCTGCAGGATCTTTTTTTTTTAATTTTAATTTTTGGCTGCATTGGGTCTTTGTTTCTGCACACAGGCTTTCTCTAGTTGCGGAGAGCAAGCAGGGGCTACTCTTCCTTGCGGTGTGCAGGCTTCTCATTGCGGGGACTTCTCTTGTTGCGGAGCACGGGCTCTAGACATGCAGGCTTCTGTAGTTGTGGCACTCGAGCTCAGTAGTTGTGGCTTGTGGGCTCTAGAGCACAGGCTCAGTAGTTGTGGTGCACAGGCTTAGTTGCTCCGCGGCATGTGGGATCCTCCTGGACCAGGCCTCAAACACATGTCCCCTGCATTGGCAGGCGGATTCTTAACCACTGTGCCACCAGGGAAGTCCCTGTAATACATATTTTCTGTTTAAGATTTTCATCACTGGTTTTCAAAAAGTTGAAAATAAGTGACTTGTTGTGGTTTCTTTTGTGTTTATTCAGGTTGGGGTCTGTTGAGCTTCTGGGAACTGTGGATTTATAATTTTCATCAAATTTGGAAAATTTTAATCATTACTGCTTCAAATATTTGTTCTCTTCCCTCCATTAACCCCCTCCCTCTCTTTCTCTCTTTCCTGGGCCATTTGATATTGTCCCTCAGCTTACTTTTCCTTTGGTCATTTAGTTTTATTATTATTATTATTATTTATTTATTTATTTTTATTTTTGGCTGCGTTGGGTCTTCGTTGCTGTGTGCAGGCTTTCTCTAGTTGCAGCGAACGGGGGCTACTCTTCGTTGCAGTGCGCGGGCTTCTCATTGTGGTGGCTTCTCTTGTTGCAGAGCACGGGCTCTAGGTGTGTGGCCTTCAG